CCCCTTGGGGGGCTCGGGGGGGGCGCAGGGGGGGCAACGGGTGCTGGTGACGGGGCTCCACGCCTGCGGGGACCTCAGCCCGGCCCTGCTGAGGCATTTCGCCCGCAGCCCCTCGGTGGCCGCCGTGGCCTCGGTGGCTTGTTGTTACATGAAGTTGTCTACCCCCCCTCAACCCCCCGGTTGCCCCCCCGGTTATCCTCTAAGCTCTTGGGTAACCGGTTTACCGGGCCACGAGCTCTCCTACCGGGCTCGGGAGGCCGCCTGCCACGCGTTGGAGGAATATCGAGGCCGGTTGGACGGGGAGAACCAGGCCCTGCGCGTCCATTGCTACCGCGCCGTCCTGGAGACCCTCATCCGGGCGGCAGATCCCACCAAGAAACACCCCGGGGTGCAGACCGTGAAGAAAGCCCACGCCCTCAGCTTCCCCCAGTGAGTTTTGGGGTCTGGGGGGGCCCATCGAAGAGCACTCAGTCCCCCACCACCCCCCTGCCCTGGGCAGGGCCACCTCCCACCAGCCCAGGTGGCTCCAAGCCCCCTCCAACCTGCCCTTGAGCCCCTCCAGGGATGGGGCAGCCACAGCTTCTCGGGGCAACCTGGGCCAGGCTCTCACCACCCTCACACCAAAGAACTTCTGCCCCACATCTCAGCTCAATCTCCCAATTTTTGGTTTAAAGCTGTTCCCCCTCATCCCATGGCTCCACTCCCCAAACACCATCCCTGGAGGGATCTCAAAGCCGGTGCTGAGGGACACGGGGCAGTGGTGGGTTGGTGGTTGGTCTTGATGAACTTGGAGGTCCCCTCCAACCCAGGGAAGTGGTGGAATCACCAGAGCATCACAACATTTCGGGTTGGAATGGACCTTCAAGCTCCTCCAGTTCCATCCCTTCTAGTGGAAGGGCCACCTCCCACCAGCCCAGGTTGCTCCAAGCCCCCTCCAACCTGCATTTTTGGTTTAAAGCTGTTCCCCCTCATCCCATGGCTCCACTCCCCAAACACCATCCCTGGAGGGATCTCAAAGCCGGTGCTGAGGGACACGGGGCAGTGGTGGGTTGGGCAGTGGTGGGTTGATGATTGGTCTTGATGAACTTTGGGATCCCCTCCAACCCAGGGAAGTGGTGGAATCGCCAGAGCATCCCAGAACGTTTGGGGTTGGAAGGGACCTTGAAGACCATCCAGTTCCATCCCTTCTAGTGGAAGGGCCACCTCCCACCAGCCCAGGTTGCTCCAAGCCCCCTCCAACCTGGCCTTGAACCCCTCCAGGGATGGGGCAACCACAGCTTCTCGGGGCAACCTGGGCCAGGCTCTCACCACCCTCACACCAAAGAACTTCTGCCCCACATCTCAGCTCCATCTCCCAATTTTTGGTTTAAAACTCTTCCCCCTCATCCCATGGCTCCACTCCCCAAACACCATCCCTGGAGGGATCAAAAAGCTGGTGCTGAGGGACGCGGGGCAGTGGTGGGTTGGGCAGTGGTGGGTTGATGGTTGGTCTTGATGACCTTTGAGGTCCCCTCCAACCCAGGGAAGTGGTGGAATCGCCAGAGCATCCCAGAACGTTTGGGGTTGGAAGGAACCTTCAAGACCATCCAGTTCCATCCCTTCTAGAGGAAGGGACATCTTCAATGAGAGCAGGTTGCTCCAAGCCCCCTCCAACCTGCCCTTGAACCTCCAGGGATGGGGCAGCCACAGCTTCTTGGGGCAACCTGGGCCAGGCTCTCGCCACCCTCAAAATAATTTCTTCCCAAAATCTCAGCTCAATCTCCCCTCTTTCAGTCTCAAACCCTTCCCCCTTGTCCCATCGCTCTCTTCCCTCATCCAGAGGTCCCCCCATCTCTCCTGGAGCCCCTTGAGGGACTGGAAGGGGCTCCAAGGTCTCCCCGGAGCCTTCTCTTCTCC